AATCATCGTCTGCTGACCCAGATGCAATGGTCTTGAACAAATCCTACTTTTTACCCCGTGACGTCGATTCTGATTCAGATCTGGAAAGTGACTCCAATTGTTTACTTTCGTCTAAGAAGAATCTTCCAGGGGCATCGAGTGTATGTGTTCTAGACACAGAAAAATCTGCAGAGAGTATGACCGAAGCGCAAAAAGAACCAGACAACATTGAGTGTCAAGAACAAAAAGTGGCAGCTCAAAGTCTTGATGTAAAAGTAGACAAAGAAACATCAATATCTGAATTCCAATCAACAGATTCTCAAACCATTTGTGAAGTGGACAATTTGTTGTCTACTTCTGGACATAAATCTGATAACGCAAAATGTCCTGCCCTCCATGAAATATGTGTTAACAAAGTAGACGTTTTAAACAATGCTGAATTTAATTTTGAGAGAAACAATAAAGCCGCTGAAGGTAGCGCACATTTTGAAACAGAAAATGTCACTGATGTGGAAGGTGTTGTAGAGATCCCAAAGGAAAAGTTAACACCAGATGTCAAAGACGATATGGTGAAAACACCACATGTCAAGGAGGACATTGTAACGGCACCGCAAGTTGTAGGTGACATTGTACCAATAGAAAATAAAGAGGACATTGTACCAACAGAAGGTAAAGAGGACACTGTACCAACAGAAGTTAAAGAGGAAATCGTACTAGCAGAAGGAAAAGAGGACATTTTACCAATAGAAGTTAGAGAGGACATTGTACCAACAGAAGGTAAAGCGGACATTGTACCAACAGTAGTTAAAGAGGAAATTGTTCCAACAAAAGTTAAAGAGGACATTGTACCAACAGAAGTTAAAGAGGAAGTCGTACCAGCAGAAGGTAAAGAGGACATTGTACCAATAGAAGTTAGAGAGGACATTGTACCAACAGAAAGTAAAGAGAAAATTGTTCCAACAAAAGTTAAAGAGGACATTGTACCAACAGAAGTTAAAGTGGACAGTGTACCAAGAAGAGCTAAAGAGGTCCTTATACCAAAAGAAGTTAAAGATAACATTGCACCAATAGAAGTTAAAGAGGAAATTTTTCCAACTGAAGTTGAAGAGGATATTGTGCAAACAGAATCTAAGGAAGACATTTTACCAACAGAAGGTAACGAGGACATAGTACCAACAATAGTTAAAGAGGACTTTATACCAAAAGAAGTTAAAGAAGAAATTGTGCAAAAAGAAGTAAATGAGGGTATTTTACCAAAAGAAGTTAAAGTGGACATTTTACCAACAGAAGTTAAAGAGGACATTGTAACAATAGATGTGAAACAGGACATTGTACCAAGAGAAGTTAATGCGGATATTGTACCAACAGAAGTTAAGGATAATATTGTGCCAACAGAACTTAAAGATAACATTGTACCAACAGAAGTTAAAGATAACATTGTACCAACAGAAGTTAAAGATAACATTGTACCAACAGAAGTTAAAGATAACATTGTACCAACAGAAGTTAAAGATAACATTGTACCAACAGAGGTTAAAGATAACATTGTACCAACAGAGGTTAAAGATAACATTGTACCAACAGAGGTTAAAGATAACATTGTACCAACAGAAGTTGAAGTAGATGAAATATCACCAACACTCCATGTTCAAGATGCCACTGTACCGAACTCACATGTTCAAGATGACACTGTACCGACCCAAAATGTTCAAGATGACACTGTACTGACCCCGCATGTTAAAGAGGACATCGAAAAAAAGGAAGAAAATGAATTAAAAGTTACAGAAACAAGGCATAGTGCAAGATCAGACATAGTTAATCTTACACCACATTTGTCATCCACATCCTTAGACATTGACCTGCCTGTAAGAATAAACCACTTTACCAAAGATTGTCTGGATTTTCCCATATCGATACAGGAGGCCACAGAATTCCAGGCATCAAAACCCAAAGCTTATTATAGCTCAGATTCTGATGACGAATCATGCTCTGCTGTGCCAGATGCAAGTTTCTTTAACAAATCCTACTTTTTACCCCGTGACGTCGATTCTGATTCAGATCTGGAAGGAGACTCCGGGGGTTTACTTTCGTCTAAGAAGAATCTTTCAATGACATCGAGTGTCTGTGTTCTAGACACAGAAAAATTTACAGAGAGTACAGAGGAAAGACAAAAAGAACCAGACATAATTGTGTGTCAAGATCAAAAAGTGGCAGCTCAAAGTCTTGATGTGAAATTATCTGATTTCAACTCCACAGATTCTCAAACCATTAGTGGGGTGGACAATTTGTTGCCCAGTTCTGGACAAAAATCAGATAACGAAAGTCCAGCATTCCAAGAAATATGTGTTAACAAAAAAGACGTTTTAAACAATGCTGAATTTTGTTTTGAAGAAAACTCTAAAAGCCCTGAAGGTAGCGCACATATTGAAACAGAAAATGTCACTGAGGTGGAAGGTGTTGTAGAGATCACAAAGGAAAATTTAACACCAGATGTCAAAGACGATATGGTGCAAACACCACTTGTCAAGGAGGACATTGTAACGACACCACGAGTTACAGAGGACATTGTACCAACGCAAGTTAAAGAGGACATTGTACGAACGGAAGTTAAAGAGGACATTGTACCAACAGAAGTTAAAGGGGACGTTGTACCAACAGAAGTTACAGAGATTGCTGTACCAAAAGAAGTTAAAGAGGACGTTGTACCAAAAGAACTTAAAAAGATTGCTGTACCAACAGAAGTTAAAGAGATTGCTGTATTAATAGAAGTTAAAGAGGACATTGTACCGACAGAAGTTAAAGCAGATATTGCACCACAACTTACAGAGGACATTGCATCACCACAACATACAGAGGACATTGTATCACCACAACTTACAGAGGACATTGTGTCACCACAACATACAGTGGTCAGTGTATCAACACAACCTACAGAGGACATATTGTCACCACAACCTACAGAGGACATTTTATCATCACAACATACAGTGGTCAGTGTATCAACACAACCTAGAGAGGACATTGCATCACCACAAGTTACAGAGGACATTGTATCACCACAACATACAGAGGAAAGTGTATCACCACAACATACAGAGGAAAGTGTATCACCACAAGATACAGAAGACATTGTATCAACACAAGCTACAGAGGACATCGTACCGGCCGCTTATGTTAAAGAGGACATTGTACCGACACCACATGCTACAGAGGACATTGTACCGGCAACAAATTTTAGAGAGGACATGGTACCGGCACCATATGTTAGAGAGAACATTGTATCGACACCACATGTTGGAGAGGACATTTTACCGGCACATGCTAAAGAGGATATTGTACAATCACCACATGTTAGAGAGGACATTGTACCGGCACCACATGGTATAGAAGATTTAATAACCCATAATGGGCTGGTTACCTCTGATAACAATGAACATCACAAAAATGGCCGCATTGTCAGCCCCAGGTCAGAAGTGCCCATAACAGAGCAGACGTCGACTAAATTTATCTTCTATAGTTCAGAATCTGATGACGAGCCATCTGGTCCCAGGTTGAGTTCAGCAACCCTACACACGACCACCTTCTCAACCAAACACTACTTCTTAGAACGCAGCGTAGATTCCGATTCTGATCAGGAAATAGAGTTCAATATCTTTCATTCGCCCAGCGATTATACCAAACATGACTCTTGTGTAAAGAACGTGGACATCACATGTAAGAAAATCAAGGAAACATGTCAGATTTCTAGTCCTTCTTATGACACAGGTGCTCTTACCCCAGAAAAGATAACTGACAGATTATGTCAAAATGCAAGTCCTTCTTCGGTATCACACGATGTTACTAAAGACAAAAAGACCCTTGAATTGTTTCAAAACTCTGGTCCTTTAACTGCGGCATCTAATGCTACAATAGACCAGAAAGCGATAGAAACTGGTCCTTTAACTGTACCAGACAATGCTACAATAGACCAGAATGCGATAGAAACTGGTCCTTTAACTGTACCAGACAATGATACAATAGACCAGAATGCGATAGAAACTGGTCATTTAACGGTACGAGACAATGTTACAATAGACCAGGAAGCGATAGAAACTTGTCCTTTAACTGTACCAGACAATGCTACAATAGACCAGAATGCGATAGAAACTGGTCCTTTAACTTTACCAGACAATGCTACAATAGACCAGAAAGCGATAGAAACTGGTCATTTAACGGTACGAGACAATGCTACAATAGACCAGAATGCGATAGAAACTGGTCATTTAACGGTACCAGACAATGCTACAATAGACCAGAATGCGATAGAAACTGGTCATTTAACGGTACCAGACAATGCTGCAATAGACCAGAAAGCGATAGAAACTGGTCATTTAACGGTACCAGACAATGCTGCAATAGACCAGAAAGCGATAGAAACTGGTCCTTTAACTGTACCAGACAATGCTACAATAGACCAGAATGCGATAGAAACTGGTCCTTTAACTTTACCAGACAATGCTACAATAGACCAGGAAGGGATAGAAACTGGTCCTATAACTGTACCAGACTATGTTACAACAATAGACCATGAAGAGGTAGAAACTGGTCCTTTAACTTTACCAGACAATGTTACAATGGACCAGGAAGAGATAGAAACTGATCCTTTAACTTTACCAGACAATGCTGCAATAGACCAGGAAGCGATAGAAACTGGTCCTTTAACTGTACCAGACAATGTTACAATAGACCAGGAAGCGATAGATGTTTGTCGAATCTCTGGTCCTTCCGCTCGACCTGAACCGGTTTCAAAACTAGAGATGTGTTTAGAGACTTCGGAACTCGAGGACTACTTCAGAGCCACAGAAAGAGACCCAGATTTCCGTCATGAACATCCTCTATTTGTTAACTCCATACATGACAACTGTTCAGATTTACCAACTTGTGACACGCCAGGAGTCGCAAAGTCAGCACCTGCCAATATTTCACCCGAATATGAAGAAGAAACCAAATTAAGGAAAAAGATGATTAGTTCAGAACCGGACATGACACGAGTATCTACGAATGAGAGCAAGATATTATCAACAGCAGAGGGGGTTGACGACGATGAAAGCTCTCCGGCTAAAAGCAGGACGCCCAACGAGGCATCGGCTTCGTCAGAAGATCATAGAGCTCCCGTCGAAGAAAATTCCCCCCAGAGGACCCCAACACAAGATGTAGAGCATGGCTCTGGAGACGAAACCCTATGTAACAATGAAAACAAACTCATCCAACACCAACAAAATCTCAGAACTTTAACCAGCCCCGTTGAACCAGGAGTCGATCCCATTGAACCAGGAGACCATACCATTGAACCAGGAGTCAATCCCATTGAACCAGGAGTCCATACCATTGAACCAAGAGTCAATACCATTGAACCAGGAGTCAATACCATTGAACCAGGAGTCAATCCCATTGAACCAGGAGTCAATACCATTGAACCAGGAGTCAATCCCATTGAACCAGGAGTCAATCCCATTGAACCAGGAGTCAATACCATTGAACCAGGAGTCAATCCCATTGAACCAGGAGTCAATCCCATTGAACCAGGAGTCAATCACATTGAACCAGGAGTCAATACCATTGAACCAGGAGTCAATACCATTGAATCAGGAGTCCATACCATTGAACCAGGAGTCAATCCCATTGAACCAGGAGTCCATACCATTGAACCAGGAGTCAATCCCATTGAACCAGGAGTCAATACCATTGAACCAAGAGTCAATACCATTGAACCAGGAGTCAATCCCATTGAACCAGGAGTCAATACCATTGAACCAGGAGTCAACCCCATTGAACCAGGAGTCCATACCATTGAACCAGGAGTCAATCCCATTGAACCAGGAGTCAATCCCATTGAACCAGGAGTCAATCACATTGAACCAGGAGTCAATACCATTGAACCAGGAGTTAATACCATTGAACCAGGAGTCCATACCATTGAACCAGGAGTCAATCCCATTGAACCAGGAGTCCATACCATTGAACCAGGAGTCAATCCCATTGAACCAGGAGTCAATACCATTGAACCAAGAGTCAATACCATTGAACCAGGAGTCAATCCCATTGAACCAGGAGTCAATACCATTGAACCAAGAGTCAATACCATTGAACCAGGAGTCAATCCCATTGAACCAGGAGTCAATACCATTGAACCAGGAGTCAACCCCATTGAACCAGGAGTCGATACCATTGAACCAGGAGTTAATCCCATTGAACCAGGAGTCCATACCATTGAACCAGGAGTCAATCCCATTGAACCAGGAGTCAATACCATTGAACCAAGAGTCAATCCTATTGAACCAGGAGTCAATACCATTGAACCAGGAGTCAATCCCATTGAACCAGAAGTCCATTCCATTGAACCAGGAGTCCATACCATTGAACCAGGAGTCAATCCCATTGAACCAGGAGTCAATCCCATTGAACCAGGAGTCAATCGCATTGAACCAGGAGTCCATACCATTGAACCAGGAGTCGATCAGCACGCCCCTCTTTCTCATTTGTCCACCAAGTGTTCTCAAGTGACCGCAGCAGTAAATTCCTCATTTGGCTCAGACCCTCACTTGGACATGAGCCAACCAGTTACATCTGAAGAAAGTTGTGAGGATGACATTGGATGTTCTGAGGAAGAGTGGGGCGTGTATGAAGAGATGAGAGGGCTTTGCTTGCGCTGTCGCAAGATGAGTGACAGGCTGATACCCTGCTCTTACTGCTTAGTGGTCAAGTACTGCAGTATGAAATGTTTATCGGAAGATCGCCAGAACCACTTGAGCAAGTGTGGTGAGTAGTTTGTTTGAATCCAGAGCCTCTAAAAGTTTAAGCTCGTAACTTACTCATATTTTTAGTGTAAAGTGTTCATTTTTTTAAATAGTTGCTCACTTTTAGTTTCAAACTAATGTCGTCATGGAGGCCTGTGTGGAAGGGTGGAGCTTTCTATTTTTAAAAAAAATGTTTTCGAAAAGGTCTCCAAAATTTTTATTAGGCTCATTAATAAACATTAAGCATTAATTTATGTTACATTAATGACCCCCCCCCCCACCAATCCTTTTTTTTTCTGCCCGAGCATGAAGAAGTGAGTTGTGTATCCCCAGGGGTCGACTGAATGTGGGTTAAACTGATTCTTTAAAAGATCATTCACAATCTTTCCAGAAAGAATCTGCATGTTCCAGGCCGTGGGTGTGACGTGCGAGTCCTTCCGACAGTCCTCTAGTAAGTTGTCCTACAGCTTCCTGGACATTCCAACTCAAGCCCAGCGTAAGTGCGGTAATGAATTAAGTCTACAAATAGTGACTAAGATATATTGCAGGACATGTTTTCAAAGTAGGCCATGGGGGGGAGGGGGGTAGGGGTAGATCGGGTATCCTGCTGAAATGGCTCATTTTTTTTCAGGTATGAGCTGAAATTTTGGGTCATTTTGACCCCCCCAAAAAAGCATACTTTACTGTACATCAGAATGTATGCACTTCCTGTTTGTTTTCTAATTTCTTCTTATTTTCATCGTGCACATGTCTCCTTCTTTCAAATTATTGAGCATGATCGTCATTCTGGAAGATCCTGCGAACAGCGGCGTACATGCAAAATAACACCACTTTCATTTCGGTCCCAGGGGTTTGTTCTATTCACAGTTTTAACTGTTTGTAAAATGGGGGGGGGGGGGAACCCCAACAAAAACTCAAAATCAAAAATAAAAAACTACATAAATCATAGAACATTTGAGATTGATTTCTATATCGACTTTAATTTTTTTTTTTCTATCAATAAATAAATTTCTATTTCTTGATATGTGACAGGTGCGTCGGGAAAGGAAGTCCGAATTTTAGCTGAAATAGTGGATGTGACAGTGACAGGATCAGCGTATGAGTTGTCAATAAAGGTAATGTGTGGTTTCAGTTACCGGGGAAACATCTAAATGACAGCCAATAGGGTTTGTCTTACCGGGGAAACATCTAAATGACAGCCAATAGGGTTTGTCTTACCGGGGAAACAGCTAAATGACAGCCAATAGGGTTTGTCTTACCGGGGAAACATCTAAATGACAGTCAATGGGGTTTGTCTTACCGGGGAAACATCTAAATGACAGTCAATAGGGTTTGTCTTACCGGGGAAACATCTAAATGACAGCCAATGGGGTTTGTCTTACCGTGGAAACATCTCAATGACAGCCAATAGAGTTTGTCTTACCGGGGAAACATCCAAATGACAGCCAATAGGGTTTGTCTTACCGGGGAAACATCTAAATGACAGCCAATAGAGTTTGTCTTATCGGGGAAACATCCAAATGACAGCCAATAGGGTTTGTCTTACCGGGGAAACATCTAAATGACAGCCAATAGGGTTTGTCTTACCGGGGAAACATCCAAATGACAGCCAATAGGGTTTGTCTTACCGGGGAAACATCTAAATGACAGCCAATAGAGTTTGTCTTATCGGGGAAACATCCAAATGACAGCCAATAGGGTTTGTCTTACCAGGGAAACATCCAAATGACAGCCAATAGAGTTTGTCTTACCGGGGAAACATCTAAATGACAGCCAATAGGGTTTGTCTTACCGGGGAAACATCCAAATGACAGCCAAAAGGGTTTGTCTTACCGGGGAAACATCCAAATGACAGCCAATAGGGTTTGTCTTACCGGGGAAACATCTAAATGACAGCCAATAGGGTTTGTCCTACCGGGGAAACATCCAAATGACAGCCAATAGGGTTTGTCTTACCGGGGAAACATCCAAATGACAGCCAATAGGGTTTGTCTTACCGGGGAAACATCTAAATGACAGCCAATGGGGCTTGTCATTTCTAAGACCGGAAAACGTCACATCGCATGACGCAATTTTACTATTTTTAGACAATGCCTTCGTAAAACATGGCTTCCAATATTGTATTTCCGCATATGTATATAGAAGTAACAAGTTGTTTGTCAAATGGTTCGTAAAACACAGTTGCAAACACGTTTTCGTCTAGGCTAAGACCCAATACGCCATTTCACATTAAAGTGCAAGTACCGAACAGCTGTTGAGAGATTGGCCAAACGGAATACCAGGATGTTTGATAAATATGTTAATGAGATTGGCCAGACTGTATGCCCGGATGATCTATTGCTAGATTTCCGCCATTGAATGAAAAACCCTATAAGAATAATAAATATAAGAATAGACATCATACTGTTTCAGAGTAATTCAAAGTTGCACTACTGTGTGAGAAGCAGTTCGAGAAATTTCTGAAATTTGACAATCGCTGTTTTGTTTCCCACCATTGAGAACAAGACAAAATATTCCTTTTCTGTATTTTTGGTTAAAAAACCCACGCCCTGAACTTAGAGACGAGATCATCTTTTAGAAGAGTATATACGGTAAACACTTAGACCATAGCCAAGCAAGTGCGTTACTTAGTAGTAACACCATCATCTTACGAAATTCAAAGCCTTTACCATTGTGCACCGTTTTAAACTTCTAGATACTGAACGCAAAACTTCAGATCTATTTTTTTTTTTTTTCATGTCAAGAAAATAAAACCTTTCTCGTTAATGAAAAAGTCGAATTTCAAATCCATTTCTTCCTGATGGTCATTACAAAACTGAAATAAGTAAATGAAATATAATTTAAATAACTCTCCATGATTTATAAGATCATATCTCTAAATGTTTATATAAAGTATTTAAAAAGCTTCTTATAAAACGCTCGTCTGTTGGTATGGTGGGCGGGGCATTCAGGGGTGACAATAAATTTGTTGTCCTGCTAGACGCATTCATTTAGAGTAGGACATACCATTTTAAATATATTGCTTTTTTTTTTTTTTTTTTTTTTTTGGTTTTTTTTTTTTTTTTTTTTTTGGTTTTTTTTTAAATTTTCCCTTTTTAAAGTGTTTTTTTTTTTTTTTTTTTTTTTGTTTT